AAGAAAATTAGAGATAGGACCGAGTTGTTTTAAATTGAAACACATGTTGAGAGTGTAGGTAATTTTAGTAATAACAGAAAAGGAGTTTCTAGTTATTAGAATGTCATCAACATAGACTAATAAATAAATATGAATATTGTCTTTGTTGTAAATTAAGAGAGATTGATCAGCAGTGCTGAGAGTAAAGTTCTAAGCATAAAGAAAACTGCAAAACAGTGAAGCACCACTGTTGTGGTGCTTTTTTGAGGCCATAAATAGCTTTGTTTAATTTACAAATGTGATGAGGATGTTGGGAATCAATAAAATTGGGTGGTTGAGTCACATAGACAGTGTCATCTAGTTTCTTGTGCACAAAAGCATTGGAGACATCAAGCTGCTGAATTTTATTTTTTTATGTGTTAGCAAGTGTAATAAGAATGTGAATCGTGGGAAATTTAGCGACTGAGCTAAAGGTTTCCGTATAATAAATTCCTTGTTGTTGTTTAAAACCTTGGGCTACAAGTGAGCTTTATAGTGAGCGATTTGACCCTACGACATTTGTATTTGCAGTGGGAGGCACAAGATTCCACGTGCCTTGTTGTTGCAAGGACATGAATTCCTTCAACATAGCATTCCTCCAATGGAAAATCTTAATAGCTTGAGTGTAAGTGGTAGGAGTGTCATGGTGAGGGATAGCGTGTTAAAGATCTACGAGTTGTTTGGGTTTGAGACTGTCGATTTGCTTGCGGGTAACCATAGGGTGAACTTTGTGAGTGGGTAGGGGAGAGTCTAATGTAGGAAGAGTGAGCAGAGGGAGGGGACATTTCTATGGAAGGAGAAGTAGCGTGACTATTATGAAGATGAAGAGAGAGGAGTATAGTTTGAGGAAGAGGAGGGATAATAGTGTTGTCGAGATTATGAGAGAGAGTTGACAGTGGAATGAGAAGTGAGGGTGGTATGTAATGAGGTGAGTTGCATGTAGAAGTAGAAGAAGTACTTGTAGGTTTTTTGTAGGGGGATATGATTTCATAAAAAATAATGTGACGAGAAATAAAATTTTTATTTTCCTGAATATCAAAACATTTGTAATACTTATGATGGGGACTGTAGCCCATAAAAATACAGGGCAAGGATTTTCAAGAGAACTTATGAGTAACATGTTGTGGTTGCCATGGGTAACATAAACATCCAAAGATTCGAGGTGGTGATATGTAGGTGAAGTACTATAAAGCAATTGAAAAGGGGAAACATTCTTAATGATTGTGGGTGGAAGTCTATTAATGAGATAATTAGCAGTATGAATGGCTTCCATCCAAAATCTAAGAGGAAGGTTAGAAACATTTAATAAAGTTATTGCAGTTTCTACTAGGTGTCTATTTTTAAGTTCTGCCATGCCATTTTGTTCCATAGTATAAGCATATCTATATTGATTTTGGATGTCATTTTCTTGTAGATAATTATGTAAAACATTTGAAGTGTATTCTCCTCCTCCATCTAATGGTAAAAAATTAATGTTTGATTGAAAATGAGTTTTACGTATTTTGTATAAAAATATAAATTGTGAAGTACTCTCAAATTTACGTTGTAGCGGTGTACACAAACAAAAGCGAGAAAAAACATCTACGAAAGTGATAAAATATTTATAACCTCTAAGGGTGGTATGGGGAAATGATCCCCAAATATCTCAGTGATTCATTTCTAAAAGTTTGTAAGTAGTAGGGATTTTAGAAAATGAAAGTGTATGACTCTTATTTTGAGCACAATCACTGCATAGAGGTAAAGAAGAAGAAATATGTTGTTAAAGGTAATTATGAGCTATTCTCATGAGCACTTTCTTGTGGGGATGCCCCAATCTGTGATGTCATAAGTTAAAACTTGTTGTGCTATGAAGTGTTGTGAGTGGGTATAACCCATGATCAACAATTTATCTCCTCTTGCTTACTTCTCTTTTATTTGTATGCGTTTTGAATTTATGTTCAATACTAATACGCTAAATTATTACTTTATTGTCGTGAAGTCTCCAACACACATCAATTAGTATGTTCAATCATAAGTTAATTTATAAACTATATGAGAGAGATATGTAAGTGATTTTAAAATTATTATGTTATCATATTAATATTAGAAAAAAACATTTACATTTCACATATTTTTAATATATTTACCTATCTCACACCTAAAATTGATATTTATACTTGTAACACTTTGCTGTCATAAATCTATGCGCAAAAAAATTGTATTTCTATTCACATATCCAACACCTACATTAATATTTACCTACATAGCACTCAAATCTTCAACGTCGCATCAAAAGTATAGTTGTCACTATCTTTATAAAAATGAAATAGAACTTAATGTATAAATTTATGCCATTAAGATGTCATGAATATAAATTTCAAACATTGGGTGAGCAAATCTACATACACACACACAATTCTTGTGCATTTACATTTTTAACACTTAAAGTTTAACATTTACCTTCATAACCTATGCATGCAAAAATGTATTTCACCTTTAAAAATTTAGTAATAAAGATATTTTGTACGTGTGTTACAATCTTGAGTGCTGCATATGTAAATATGAAAGTTTAAGTTAGATATGATATGTAAATACATAAGAATTATGGTGTATGCATGCAAATGGAGTACGGATGAAGAACTCTAAAAGTTGTATTACCATAGCCACTAACCAAACATGTGATGATTGCATGGAATCGTAAACAAAAAATATAAATCCTTGTTGAATACAATATATACATGATCTATGCCATCTAATGCACTCTCACTTTCTTATATTACAATATTAATGGCATCAGTATCAGATTGTGGCAAATTTTTTGTATAGATCATATCATCAAAGCCTGCAAGGCATTTAGATGGTAGAAATATGGAAAAAAAAAAATTACATAAGGACTCTGGATGCGTTCGGAGTCCAATGGTGAGGCGCCATGTGTCAAGGACCCCACCGTTCTTTACACTGGTCAATATCAGTGTATTACGGTAGGACCCGCTTCATATGTGGCATCCCACCATTGGACTCCGTTAAGAGTCATGATGTAATATTATCTAAAAAATATGAGCTTTTACAAGATTAAGATGATTGATAATCTTTTCAAAAAGCTGCCACAATCTTAGGAGAAGAGTCGGCCAATTTCTATGAGATGAAATCTCAATTATGGAACCATTGTGTGATAACATTCATAATTTGATAGTGTTGTTTTTACTATTGTTATCAGATATATTTCATGGGCACATCATAAATTAACTTGGCTAGCCCAAATATCCAAATAGTAAGTTTTCTTTTTGCTTATTAGCCTATACTTTAGTTGGCCGACTAATTTGTTTTTAGGTTGACAGTTGTTGATTTAAATTTATAAAATGAGTCATTATACTTATGTGATGTTTCCACATTGAAGATAATTTTATAAATTCATATGATGTTTCCACATTGTAGTTAAGTTAGCTTAAACTCTCTTCTTTGGTATGCTTAACTCAGGTAAGTTTATGTCTAACCAAATTTGTTAAAAAGAGTTATGCAGAAGCTTTTCTGGCTGAGAAAAATGATAATTGTTATTTGATTCATAACTTTCTATATTTTTTAGATGAGATGGGTTATAATTTAGGTCTAATTACGTAAATAAATTGAACATTGCTCCAATTGAATTTGAGATAATATATATATATATATATATATATATTGATTGATTATTTAAGAGATTGGCAACAAATTCTCTTGGAAACTCGGAGAAATAATATGATTAATAAAATTTTAGTCAATTTTAATAAAATTAAAAAAAAAAAAGTAATCGTGGTTTTGAAGAATTTGTGATAATTCAATTTGACTCGCTTAAATTTATTATTTTCAGTTTATTTATTTATTTATAATTAAACAAAATGGCATTGAACATATTCATTTGATCATTTTCATCATTTTTTCTCAAATTACCGAAAGACGAGTTCGCTGTGACCCACATCGCAATGCTACTGAAGATTCAGTCTAGAATTTCATGTTAGAACAAACCACATTTATTCTAACTAGATAAAATATTTTTATTCTTTAAATAAATAACGTACTTATTTGTGATATAATTGTTGAGAGTGTAATTTCCCATTGTGAGACTGCGTATTCGAATCGTTCACTTGCCTTTTTCCTGATACAAAAGTATTAATTAAACAAACTTAAACAAGTCAATCTCAACACAAAAGTAAATCTCTTACAATCATTTACACGTATAATCAACATTTACATTAATTATTCATTCTCTTACATGATAACTTGCTATAATGAAAATATTATTAAAAAATCAACTTCATTTATCCTCATTTTGGCTATATCTTTAATCTACTATATATTAGATAAATCCATAAAACTTTATGTTTTACTATTCATCATTGTTCATTAGGTGTGATTCACGGACAAATCAAGATCCAATACGTTCACTCTCATAATATTTACTAACAAGCTTTTTGTGTCATCAATACGTAAATTTGAATCCAAACGCTAGAGGAAATTGGGGGAGCCGAGTAAGATCACTCATGACAAATTTAAACTTCTTTGGAGTCTTTAATGCAACCCAAAAACAAAGTCTCAAATCACAAATCCATCCAATGACTTAAAAACATATTGTCATTCAACAAATCTTTAGACAAATATATATAGAGGCAGGCAGCTAGACTTTGCCATTACAAGAACAAAAATTTATCCACACTAAAATTCCAAAACCATATAAAATGTTTTAAATCAGAAGTATGATACGTCCATATCTGTAATTTATTATGATTAAATATAACGGTCAGAAGCCTAAAGTTCTCTTCCCTCTTCCTCATATCTACATAAATTTGATATATCATTCAATGTCACATGAAGGCTATATATATATATGTACATTGGGACCCAACTTCTGCTAGCTCTGCTGTAGCGCCCTTCTCAACAACCTAAGAAAAATAAAAATAAAAATAAAAATTAGTAACGGATAAATGATGAATATTAGATTTCTATTTGAAAAAAAAAAAAAGAGGGAAATGATTCTTTACTTCTCATGAAGTTCAAGAGCCCTATTTCTGATGAATATAGCCTCAGTCTTCCTTCCACAGCTCTTCAGGAAAAGAAATTAGAAAGTTCGCCGGCTCCGGCTCGGAATGCCGCCGCCCTACGTCGCCTTTCTTCTCCTTCTGCTCCTCCGCCTCTTTCTGCTGGCATCCGCCGCGCCGGAGGGCCGTACGCCGGCCACCCAGTCGGAGATCGACGCGCTCACCGCATTCCGGCTCAACCTCCAAGATCCCCTCGGCGCGCTCTCGGGTTGGGATCCCACTACGCGGCACGAGGAGGTGGGCGGGGTGTCACCGGCGAGCCCGTCGGCGGCGGCCGTGTCGTCGAGCTCCGGCTGACTCGCCTTCGCCTCTCAGGTCCCATCTCCGACCGCCTCGCTGACCTACATTTTCTTCGCAAGCTCAGCTTGCCCTCCAACTTATTTACTGGATCTATTCCTCCCTCACTAGCCAACCTCTCCGACCTCCGAACCCTTTTTCTTCAATACAACTCCCTCAACGGCCCGCTTCCCCCCGCTCTCCTTTCCAACCTCACTAAACTCCAGATACTAAATGCCGCCGGAAACCGCCTCTCCGGAGTTTTTCCGGCCGTTCTTCTTCCAAACCTCCGCTATCTTGACCTCTCATCCAACTCTTTTACCAGCCAAATCCCAACCAACTTGTCGTCAACGGCTCCGCGGTTGCAGCTACTCAATCTCTCCTTCAATCGCCTGCGCGGCACTATTCCGGGGGATCTCGGCCGGCTTCAGATGCTCCTTTATCTTTGGCTGGACTGGAACGAGCTCGAGGGGACGATTCCGGCTGTTCTTGCGAACTGCTCTTCCCTGCTTCACCTCAGTATACAGGGGAACAAACTCCAAGGCATCGTTCCGGCGGCCGTCGGTGAGATCCCTACACTTCAGGTTCTTTCGCTCTCGCATAACCAGCTTTCCGGCCCGATTCCATCTTCCATTTTATACAACGCCTCCGCCGCGCCCCCCGCCGTCGCTGCGGATCGTGCAGCTAGGTTACAATGCGCTCTCCCTTTTACCCGAACCTTCGGAGGAGCGAGCTCCGGCAGCGCTCGCTTCCAGTGTTCTCCAGGTGTTCGATGTGAAGGAGAATCAGGTAGCTGGGCCTTTCCCAGTGTGGCTGACTAACATCTCAACTCTGACGGTTTTGGATCTTTCTAGGAACGCATTTTCCGGTGATCTTCCGCCGGAAATGGGCAAGTTAATCGTGCTCCAGGAGCTTCGTATTGGAACAAATTTGATGAGCGGAACCGTTCCGACGGACATCGGGATGTGCACCTCCCTGCATGTTCTTGAACTGGAGCATAACCGATTTTCTGGCATAATACCATCGGCTCTTGGAGATCTTCCGGAGATGACAACGCTTCTTCTTGGCGGAAACCTATTTACTGGTTCGATTCCGGCTAGTTTTGGCGCGCTATCACATCTCGACGGCCTCTCATTGCGTCAGAACAACCTAAGTGGAAGCATACCGGAAGAGATACTGAGGTTGAGCAACCTGTCTTCTCTGGACCTTTCCCGCAATAGATTCTCCGGCGAGATTCCGGTCGGTATCGGGAATCTTGAGCGTTTGCAAAGCTTGAACTTGAGCAACAATTTTTTTTCCGGAAGCATCCCGTCGAGCATCGGAAAGCTTGGAAACCTTAAATTACTAGACCTCAGTGGACAAGACAACCTCTCCGGCGAAATTCCAGCTGAGCTTTTCGGGATGCCGAACCTCCAAGTGATCTCGCTTGCCGATAACTCGTTATCAGGTGAGTTTCCTGAAGGTTTCACCAGCCTGTGGAGCCTGCAGCGGCTCAATCTGACGTCCAATTCGTTTAAAGGTGTCATCCCAACCACCTACGGTTATCTCCAGTCCCTGCAAGTTCTCTCCATCTCCAAAAATAACCTCTCTGGCGTGATTCCTGCGGAGCTTGGCAACTGCTCTAACCTCACCACCATCCAGCTCCGCGAAAACCACCTTTCAGGTTACATTCCCGTGGATCTCTCGCGGCTCTCCAACCTGGAAGAACTCGACCTCGGCAAGAATCTCCTTTCTGGAGGAATCCCAATGGAGATTTCGCAATGCTCGTCGCTGTCCACTCTCCTGCTTGACAAAAACAATCTCTCCGGAAGCATCCCGGAGTCCCTCTCGAACTTGTCCAAGCTGCAAAACTTAGATCTTTCCTCAAACAAACTCAGCGGCGCGATTCCCTCCAGCCTTGCAGTTATTAACAGATTGACTCACTTCAACGTCTCATACAACAATCTGGAGGGCGAGATACCGCTAATGTTGTCCTCCCGATTCAAGAATGCTTCTCTGTTCGCTGGAAATCCTGACCTCTGCGGTCAGCCGTTGGCCAATAAATGCGGCGGAAAGAAAAGGTGGACTCAGTCGATTCTTTTCATATCCCTCGCTGGCGCGCTGGCGGTCATCCTCCTCACAATACTCTACTGCTGCTGCGTCTGTTTTCTAATCCGATGGCGGCAGAGGTTTCTCGAGAGGCGCGACGGGCCGAAGAAGCGCAGTCCAGGACGAGGAAGCGGATCGAGCTCCGGCAGCGCCGGCGACAACGGTGGAGGACCGAAGCTAATCATGTTCCAGAACAAAATCACCTACACGGAGACATTGGAAGCCACGAGGCAGTTTGACGAGGAGAACGTGTTGAGCCGCGGGCGCCACGGGCTTGTCTTCAAGGCCTGCTACAACGACGGCACGGTGCTGTCAATCCTCCGGCTGCCGTCAACTTCCGCCGATGGGGCGGTGGTGGTGGAGGAAGGCTTTTTCCGCAAGGAAGCGGAATCGCTCGGGAAGGTGAAGCAGAGGAACCTGACCGTGCTCCGGGGTTATTACGCCGGGCCTCCGCCGGACGTCCGGCTGCTCATCTACGACTACATGCCGAACGGTAATCTAGCCACTCTGCTCCAGGAAGCATCGCACCAAGATGGCCACGTGCTCAACTGGCCAATGCGGCACCTAATCGCGCTCGGAGTGGCGCGGGGTCTCGCGTTCCTGCACGCCGCGAATGTTGTCCATGGGGACGTGAAGCCGCAGAACGTATTGTTTGATGCCGATTTTGAGCCCCATTTGTCTGATTTGGGCTGGAGAGGAGGGGGGGGACGGCGGGAGCAGCCGCGGAGGCTGCAGCGTCGACGTCTTCAGTTGCCGTGGGCGTGGTTGGTTCATTGGGCTATGTAGCGCCGGATGCTGCGGCGGCGGGGCAGGCGACGAGGGAAGGAGACGTGTTCAGCTTTGGAATTGTTTTATTGGAGCTGCTGACTGGGCGGCGGCCGGGGACTTTTGCCGGGGAGGAGGAGGAGGAGGATATCGTGAAGTGGGTGAAGAGGCAGCTGCAGCGAGGGCAGATTACTGAGTTACTGGAGCCGGGGTTGTTGGAGCTCGATCCTGAATCTGCGGAGTGGGAGGAGTTTCTTCTTGGTATCAAGGTCGGGCTGCTCTGCACAGCTCCAAGCCCGGTGGACCGTCCCAACATGGCGGACGTCGTATTCATGCTGGAGGGCTGTCGCGTCGGCACCGACATTCCATCATCCAACGATCCGACCTCGCAGCCCTCGCCGGCTTAATCTACAAGGCCGGCGGGAGGCTCGCCGCCGGTGATTCTCTGTGCGCAGCACATTTTTATTTTATTTTTCTTTCCTGCTATTCCGTTATGCTTTCCCGGGTTTCTGGGATCGGTTCAAATTGATTTTTTTTTTTTTTTTAAATTTATTTTTTTAACCTTTTATCATCCGACCGAGCGGCGAAGTCGGGGGTGGTGGGGACAAAGTGACATGGAAAAGAATTGAGGAAAAAATAGGAATTGTAGCCGTTGGGCGGCTTGGGGTTTGGAGTTAAAGCCACCTTTTTGATGGAGAAGAGATGCTTTGCTATTATTACGTGATGGTGGCTGATCTGAGGGATGGAGTGAGCGTATATGCCGGTTCCTTTTTAACCCACGTGGTTAGAAGCATTGTGGTTACTTATTGGGGCATGGCCTTGGGGACAGAAGGTAGCAGGGGGTGCAGCTGTTTGTTGGGGGCATCACGGGCGGACTCAGGAGCCGTTTTGAGCTGAATTCTCCTGCATGTTTTTTTTTTTAGATGATTTTATGAACAGATTTTCAACTGGATTTTATGATGATTTGTCACTTGTTATAGATTTTTTTTTTATTAAAAAAATACGACACTTCAAAATATAACAAAAAATTTTTTTATATAAAAATACATGAGTAGAAAAATTATTCCGCGGTGTCCAATCTCCACCCTTCATCACGGGTTTGGTGGGACCCACGGTGGAGATTAGACACCGCATGCATCTCTGCATGTGGTGTCCGCACGGAATAATTTTTCATAGTATAGAGCTTTTGTTTGCGCTAGAACATTCATGATAGTAGAGTGATGAGTTTAAAGTTTTAGCCATAGAGTTAACACAAATAAACGGGTGGAAGGGGGCATCAAAATTTCTTATCTGGAAAAACTTAAAAAGAGAAAAAAAACCCAGGACTTATTCAAGTTAATATAATTCACTATAAATATGTAATTATGAAGACACTATTATCTTATAATTTGAAAAAAAAAGGGGTTACAACGCTAAAAAAATCATGAGTATGAAAAATATTTGTATTTTAATTACGGTAATTGTAAGTAGTTAAACTTTAAGTCTATAATCTCGTGTCATACATTACATTGTATTTGAGATATTTTGTTACATCATATTCAAAATATTTTCTTATATCGTATTCTGGAGTTCACCGACGGTGAATTAGGTAGTAGTAGTGACTGACGGCTGGTGATTGTTGGCTAAGGAAATCAAGACTTAATTCATGGTCTTCAAGTTCAGAATAAAATTGAAATTTCACTCCTCCCTTCCCAAGTGTTGAGGATTTATTTATAGCACATTAAAGAGGGACATTTAGATCATTTGACAAATAACTAGCATAACCACATGGTTGAACAATTCCCATTGATATGCTTAATTTAAATACAAATATGTTAAATTGAGAGTTCATTTGAACCTCAAATTAATTACCTAAACCATCCACATGTGATTTAATTGCTTGCTCCGGGTTTGAATGAACTCGGATTAAATTAATTTTGATATAATTGGATTCTTCTTTGTTGAGACAATTAGTTTAGCTATAAACTCGCTACAATCAAAGCTCTAGATGATCTTTAATATCTCCAATTTCTAAATAAACAGAAAACCAAGGAAAAACTTTTCAGCAAGAGATTAAAAAAAGAAATAAAGTCAAAGCATATGCATTAACACTAAATATGATGAGATATCATTCAAAAGACCAACGCAAGTATATTTTAATCGATCCACGACATGCGTTAGGGCATAACAGCCTGGTTGATTAATTCATACAATGCTTCCTTCATAAATTTATTTGGAACTCTCTGCCCCCTTCATATATAAATACGCAGAAGAAGCACAAAAGCCTTAAAAAAAAAAAAAAAAGTCTACAGCAAGCAAAAACCAACTGCATTCTTACATATAAACATTCAACGTAACCCAAGCAAATAAATTATTGCTGTCCACCGAGCAGTCATTAATAACCTTTTTTTTTTTTCCATTCATCACGAGGAAATGCAGATCCCAAGAAGCTAATTTTATCAAATACGCACATATGGGGAAGAAGCTAAAATGAATATAAAAAACGTGGTTCCAGCTATTCTGTACCACCCGTATAATTTCCTATTATCTGTTTCATTAATTTAATTTGTTACAATAAACGGAAGAGATGAAGTGGGAGGAAGCCCTAAATAATGGTTCTTCCAAGGTTCAGGCAGAGGTAAGGCCTTCGGGCAAGGGCTCCTCCCAGGCCTCTAAATTTGGGGCTAAAATTTTCCGGCAAGCATGCACAACGGCGGAGTGAAATCCTGAAGGGTTGTCTATGAAGACGAAGTGGCCGCCCTGCAAATTTTGCAACGCATGCATCCTCATATTATTGCACGTAAATGGGGAAGAAATTGCATCAGGAGTCATTTTGTCTAGATTTCAATGTAATTACATATCAAATACCTAGAATTCAATTCTTACATATATGCAATCTCACATGCATGACAAAATGCATTTCACTTTTTAGCCGAAACAATGTTATTTATAAATCTAGCACCCTCTTTCACCCATCTTTCAGAGTTTCATTTTTATCAAAATTTGAATGATTTGATTGTGGCATGCCTGAGTGCTAGATCTTCTAAACAACCATGTTTCTGGTGCTATGTATGCAAGCATTCCTATTTTTTATGTGATATGAAAAATTTAGCTAATAGATATGTAAATTTATAAAAATTGGGCGGCAGGTATTTAAATGTCCCAAATATATATTATTTTGAGTCAACGTCTTGTATTTCAAATAAGTTATGTGTAGAGTTTTGATGCTAAGTTTTTTTTTTTTAAATTTAATTTTTTTGTTTTCCCAAGACGAAAGTGTGTGGAAGAGAGGAGGAGACCTGGGGTACTCTAATTATGTCGCAGGGGACCTTCATGCCCTCTCGAGCAAGTTGTGCGCCTTGGTAATTCATCCAGTCCTCGTAGCCGTAAATGAAGGTTGTAGGAACTTTCCAATCCGAAGAACTGCAACAAAATACAGTTGGAGCATCCTAAATCCGTCTGAAAATATAAATAAACTCATGCCAAACTAGTTAGCTATGTGATTAAATTAATGTGAGGACACTTTTTTGAAAGTAATATATTAGTACTTAATTCTTTATTTCCAAAAGAAAATTTATTTCATGTATTAAGTATCCTGAGAATGTGGCTCAAGCATTTCTCTTCACCCAATGAAGTTCTTTTAGGTGAAATAATTTTTTTTAATTAAAACACATAAATAGACTATGGGTGTAATATATATTTATTTTGGTATGGAGAGGAGGATAGGTAGGACATGGAACATGAGAATATGAGATCTCGTAAGATACAAATGCGGCAGCTTTGAAGAAGAATGACAGCTGAGTAGTACGACTCATTCAGCATCAAGTTGATGCAAAAAATACTTGTAAATAATCGTGTGCAGTGATTCTCATGAATACAGGAATACCAAAAAAATAATAAAAGTACAATGATTCCCATGCTGCATGACGAAGCAATAGAATGTTATGACGCAAATTATCATGTGTGAGAACTTTGAATGCAGGCCACTCTCTCTCTCTCTCTCTCTCTCTCTCTCTCTATATATATATATATATTGAAAAAATACTGTAATCCGGGAAACCACCTTGAGTCATCATCCTCAAGCCTCATATCCATTTCTCTTTTATATCTCTCGTCCACAAAAAAAAAATGTGTATACTGAGTTGGATGCACTCAGGAACCATATAGGACCCTACTTTACCCAAATTGGTATACAATATTGTCAGAGTAAAAGTAAACAGTGAGAACCATATGGAATGTGTGAATCCAGCCCCAAAAACATGCAGAGACCTACCGATTTGGCATAGTATAGAAAGACAACAAAATTTAATTGTTGGTGACAGACATTTTATTATGAGAAAAATGGTATTGAAAGAAAATTAAAGGCAACAATTTTTTTTTAAAAATGTAGCATCCAAATGCCAAGCGATTAATAAATGCATTAGAAAGGACCATATGCACAAAACATTAACACATTTTTGAAAATAGGAAGAAATCTTCAATAGAAATACTGATGGAAGAAAGTAGTTTGAAAGATCATCATCCCTGAGGAAGATCACCCTGCAATTCATATCCCCATAAATATCATATAAACCCATACTTTTCACTTGAAAAATTGAAAAAAATCTAAAGCCCAACAAGAAGAAAGAGGCAGAAAACAGATTTAAAAAAAAAGACACTGAAAAAAGACAAAAGGAAGATTAACAGAAAAAATAAACAAAAATAAAGCATTTCCATATATTTTCATATAATGAAAAAGAATAGACTCAGTGAATTTCCCAGTATGATAAAAGAGATTTCAACAAAATTAAATAATTAGAATTCTAGCAGAAAGTTAAGATAATCTACCATTGTAGAAGAGGTTTCCGTGCAAATGCTCCAAAAGAGAATATATACTTCAAACATAATTCTCCACTTGCTTTCGCCACCAAAGTATGGTACACGTAATCTAAATAATTTAGAGGAAAAAGTGAGGTATAGCAGACCTAAACAAGAAATCACAGCATTAAGAACAAATGGCAAAGCACCCAAGATACAGACTGTGAATTGTACCTGTCAACAAAGCAGCTTCTCTTTCATTTAAGATGGTACCACTGGAGTAAGAACCAAACCTAGCTGTTGTATACCTACGTACTAGATCAGGGCCCCAAGGGCCTAAGCCCCTGCAAGTTAGGACACGTAATTTCATTGAAAAATAATGAATTGATAGTACCAAACATAGGGCACCAAAGCCTTTTTTTTTAAATTGATAAAGTAAGATGACAATGCTATCTTGTTAAAACACAAATTGTTGCTAGGGCTGTTATATATATCTGTGTGTGTGTGTGTGTGATAGAGAGAGACGAAATGTCGGCTCAGGGAAGAACTCATCCCTCAGCACCTGGAAGGGCGTTTTTTGGACAAGACAACAGAGTTGCTGGACTCGACCACTCTCCAACCAGTCGGCCACCGCCCTCTTTCTCTCACTTGCTGCCCACCATGGTTGGCCGCCTCCTATAACTAGTCGACCACAACCGAGCAATCGGTCGGCCACCCATGGCCGACCACCTCCTTTAACTGGTCGACCATAGGTGGTCGGCCACAACCGAGTGTTGGCATCACTTTTTGATGTTACATGTGTAGGATGTCCGCTAGAACGACCTAAGATTGTATTTCATGCATAAATAACTTCTCAGAACTCAAGACATCCATTTGAGACTCTCTGGTGCGTATTTAATGACACAAGGAAATGATCGTTCTGCTAAACTTTGACTTTCACTTAAACGAAATTCGGTCTAGATTTTGTTTGTCAGACGACTTTGGCCAAACGACAGATTTCTGCGGGACTTTGGTTGTGGCTTTAGCGAAAACTGGTCGGCATTTGTCTGTCAAACGACTTTGACCGGACCAACGGATTTCACTCTGTACGACACATGTAAATCGGGCTCAAATTGGTCCGATTGTTGACGAATTTGTCCAGACAACCTTAGATTACAAAAGAGAATGCGAGAATCAAAACAATTGACCTTTAGATATATATATATATATATATATAT